TGTGTGTGTGTGTGTGTGTGTGTGTGTGTGTGTGTGTGTGTGTGTGTGTGTGTGTGTGTGTGTGTGTGTGTGTGTGTGTGTGTGTGTGTGTGTGTGCGCGCGCGCGCGCGCGTGCGTGCGTGCGTGCGTGTGAGCTCTTTGTGTGCATTGATAAAAGAGTGTTTGATTTCATGAGCGTTTCATGTGCTTGTGTATGAACATGTGTGCATGTGTTTTCAGGTGCTGTACAACATGTTCAGCTTTGTGGCAGACATGCCAGAGGTGGAGCCAGTGGACGTGTTCCTCGGCGTGGCGAGGTTCTTCGTGGTCGGGCTCGGTGGGATGGGCTTCGGCATTCTGTTCGGCTTCGTGGCCGCCTTCACAACGAGATTCACCTCCAGGGTCCGAGAAATCGAGCCCCTCTTCATATTCATGTACAGCTACTTGGCCTATTTGGTGGCCGAGCTCTTCGCTATCTCGTCCATTATGGCGTGAGTAGATTTGAAAACAAATATATTACTATTCTGCAGAAATGTCGCAAGGTAACAGCCGAATGTATGTCTTTCCTGCAGCATTGTTACCTGTGCCCTCACCATGAAATACTATGTGGAGGAAAATGTCTCCCAGCGTTCCTGCACAACCATTCGCCACGTGGTCAAGATGCTTGGCTCCATCTCCGAGACCCTCATCTTCTTCTTTCTCGGGGTCGTCACGATAACAACAGAACATGAGTGGAACTGGGGCTACATCCTGTTTACGCTGCTGTTTGCCTTCGTCTGGAGAGGTCTTGGTAAGCAGAGGGTAACTGTCAGGTTGGAGGTCAGGGGTTTGTTTGACTGCTTCTGTCTGCGTTTTACTATGTTCTGTTTGCACACGAGCGCATTTGGCAGCACAAAGTCACATCCTTTCACTCTCCCTCCATACCTTTGTATCAAAGGTCAATAATTAGTGGTGGTAAAACATTGCGTATGTGCCAACTAAGGCAGGGGAGCAGAAATCCACTTGATATGATACTCTGAGTCTAGTGACGCAAAATCACAACTCTAAAAGTGATTTATGACGGAGCTGGTTTATCGAACATCAAGAATACACACTTTACATTCTGTTGAGTTTCTGTTTGTTTCTTTCTGCTGAGCTCCAGCAGTTTAACTTCTCACCTCGCTGCAGTGATGTGCAGGCGGACTCCATGACCCCATGACATCACTGTCACGTGTGTGTTTATTGCTACACCTATGCGCACTTGTGACCACGCCCACTGGTGGTGCTGGGCATGGCCACCAGGTGAAACCGACTTGAAAACCTCGAACCAGAGGAGACATCAAAACTGTTTCAGCTGATGTTGTTGCTCTGTAAAGCAGCTGCAGTGATTTTTAACACTTTAACAAGCTGTAAACACGACACGTTTATTATCTCTGTTTTGGTTGATGATGCATTTTGTTTAAGTTCACTCGACTTCTATCTGATTAGCGCAGCTTTAAATGTAATTTCAATACAACGATAAAGAAAATCTCATATTATTACACCCGCTCTTCCCTCCCAGGTGTCTTGGTGCTGACTCAGATCATTAACCCTTTCCGCACCATTCCATTCAACATGAAGGATCAGTTTGGTTTGGCCTATGGTGGCCTGCGAGGCGCAATTTCATTCGCCTTGGCTTTCACTCTTCCTAATACCATCGGCCGCAAGCCGCTCTTCGTCACGGCCACCATCGCCGTCATCCTCTTCACTGTGTTTCTTCAGGTAAGACTTTGTGATTGTTAATTTCCCGCATCTGAAATCATTTGTCTTTTGTTCGATGATGTTTGCTGGAAACAGACTGGTGGCCTGTTTCGTGATTTTCTAATCAACCGATTTCAGTGAAAGTTTGATCTGGATCTGGTTTAGGGGGCGAATCCAGGATTTTAAAGATGACTTTCTTTAACATTGCAGCGTTTAAAAAATAAGAATATTTTCCTTGATTTCTCCGAGAATATTTTATGGATCTTTATGAAAACAAGTTAAGCACTTCAAGGTTGTATGTTAGTTAGCAGGATTATGCAAAATATATTTCTATGAAAGGTTGTGGTGGTTGTGTGGAGCATGAGCCAAAGAAGAACCCATTCAACTTTGAGCAGATCTGGATAAACGGATCTAGGAGTTTTCGCCTCAGCCTTCACAGAGATAAACATTACAATATGTGAAGTTCATTAAATACGTGATGTCCAATGGTGTGACGGTCGGTTGGGATTTGAAGTCTTTAAGGTTTTTCTGGGTTCTGCTGAATCTCTTTTCCTCTTCTCCACAGGGCATCAGTATCCGTCCTCTGATTGAGTTCATCAATGTCCGCAGAACCAACCGCAATCTTGACACCATCAACGTAGAGATCCACTGCAGGGTGAGACGCAGCTCGTGATTATTGCACATCGTGGACAGAATATTTTTAAACAGGGTGTTAACAGCTCTCATTTTTCTCACAGCTCATGGATCACACCATAGCAGGCATAGAGGACCTCTGTGGACAGTGGAGCCACTTCTACTGGAAGGACAAGTAAGAACTTACCTTGTTTCTGCTCAACAAAAAGTTATTATATTCCTTATTTGGTGTTACCTGCAAAACATTTTTTACTGATGTCATCTTTAACTCGCTGCTTTACTGCTTAAAAAAAAAAACTGAAAGGAAATAATCAGCAGGGAAACTGGAGGAGAGGTGACAGTTTTATTTTACCTGCTTTCAGTTTCCTTCTTTGTGGTTTTGTTTGACAAAGCTATTGTTCACACTGGGACGGTGTGGGAACGTTGAAAGCTTTTCAGACTCTGGTGTCGTGTTCAGCTTCCGCCAGGTTTTTCTTCCGAAAGCTCGGAAATGTGTTCCCGCAGTTCCTCATTGTGTCTGTGATCCCAACATTTTCAACTACATCAAATGTAACTTGAATTAGCATTAATGCATTGTTTAATTACAATTCCTTATTCTGATTATTTCAGTTCCTTTAATTAACTGCAGCAACATAAGTCTGTTCAAATACA